TTGGGGGCAATGCGACTAAAACAGTAATTGAAATTCAGCACACTATTTTTTAAAACGCGTTGCTTGAATAAAACTGACCAGACACATTCAATTTACCAGACTATTGAACAACTAGGAAAAGTGAAAAAAATACTTCTTATTGCCAGCATAAATGCGTAATTATTTTTTTTACAAAAAAAGTAATTTTTCACCTTTGATTAAGTAATGCGCGTAGAATGCAGATAACGGCATGCAAAATACACTTGTGAAAAGCTTGAAGTCTGGCGATTCTAAAAATATATACTTTCCGGGTCTATTTGTAGTCATTTAGTCACAATTAGAAGATGAAAACAAGTATGCAAATAATAGTCCCGCTACCTTAATGGACATACTATACTGGAGGGGAAAATCGTGTAACCCCTCCATCGCATCAAATTAAATATAAGATCAAAATGTTTCTTTTCCTTTATTCATGTTTGATAATAAGTCTTGAAATAGGGATTGCAAATACATCCAATAATTACAATATACATAATGGTTTGTTCATTACATTAGACATTGACAGAGGGACTTTTAATGGCAATGTCTATGCTTAATACAGGTATTACACCGTTATTATGGGCGTAACATCTAAAGATTTATTACCTAATGAAATTTGTACCCATTAAATATATATTGCACAAGAAATGACTTCAAATTTTCAAATATTGGTCAGAAATAAATTTATCCAAAAACCATCTTGTAACACAAATTCCTTGTTCAATACATGATTTTTCCGTCAACTGCGAGATTCTCATAAGGCATGAAAAGCACGGACTTAGCGTTTGACGCAAAAATTAAAAGATTTGATTCGATCTAGAGTTTCTTTAGTTTTATAATTAAATATTGAAATACCAATTTTCTTGAGGGAGATATGGTGTTGAGATAACCTTACTTCATCGAAATTGAACATCATCAAATGTGAATAGCATGTTATTAAGCATGGAATCAATACCAACTTTTGTTTGTTCTGTTTTCTATGTATGATTTTGCACATAATATAGTAAACAGAAAATGAACTTAGTGTCATTGTATTTTGTAGTTCATCTGGTTATACAAGACTTGTCTCAAAATCAAATAAACACTACAATTGGCAAATTTCAGTCACACCATGGGAATACAAACGAAAATAAGGAATAGTCCTTTTTTAGGATTTGAGTAAAATATTAATGCTATAAAACCTTATTATTATAAACTTCTGATTGCCAAGTGAATTATCACTCTTTCAAAATGTGTACATAAGACATAATGCACCTTGGTAGAAATATAAACATGAGTTTACATCAAAGTCAGACATAGATATGAAGAGTATACAACTTTCAAAACTACTGATGTATGTTGATATGCGATGAAGAGGTGCATGTCAATCAAACTTGTTTGTATTGCGAAAATGAAACTGAATCTATTTTCGAAAACTGCTAAACACACACAATACAGCCTCTGCGCACATGAAATGACGCTAGAAAAAACCTGAGATGAACACTACCTATACCATTCTAGTATTTCTAAAACTGTGTTATTTTGCTATGGTGTGATCAGTCCTGGTGATCTTCATTGCATGTTACCACCAGTGGTCCATCGTTATTTCTGTGTCTATTTTTGTTTATATAAATATATGTAGCTATAATGCAAGAACAAATTATTTCTTGGTAGCACTGAGTGGGTCGTCAAATATACTTGGCACATCAGGATCAAATATCGAGGTCCCGGAACTCTTCTTCTCTGACTTTTTCTTGGTCTTTGTTCTTCTCGGACTGCTTTTAGCATCCGCAAAGATGTCATCTGAAATTATAACAAATAAATGATTTTTGTTTGGTCAGTGTGCACAGCAAGTTCAAAACGGGCAATTCACAAACTCGTTTCCAAGTTCCTGCCAAAATACTCTAAAAATCAAACATAGAACTAGAAAAATAAGTCCTTACCAGTAGTATTTGAGAAATGCAGAACCGGATTTCTACACGTGTCAGCTCATTACATTTTTAAAACTTTTTAAGGACAAATTTTGTGTGAATTTAAGGTCTATTTTAGTGTACACTTATCGTCAAAGTCAGATTGTAACGCAGTCAAAAATTGATTTAGAAATAAAAGAGTCTGTGGAATGAATGAATTGATGAAAGTTTTTATCAGACCTTTTTAAGGCCTCACAAGATTTCTTATATTGGTGATTTCTTCAAGGTAGCAAAACAAAAAAAAGTGTTGAGGGAAATTTTCTAAGACTCAAGACAACTTCAGAACAAGATGTCTGATGGTACTAACAATGTTATGACAAATCTAGCATCACAACACATGGACCAATTTCACCGTATCATTGATACACAATACATAAACTGTATATACCTCCATCAACTTCTTTAAACAATGGATCTTTCTCTTTTTTCTTTTTTCTTTCTTTTGGACGAGTTGGTGAAGAATCTGCAAAAATGTTAGTCTCGTCTGTGAACAGAACACTGTCTTTCGTCTTTGATTTGGTTTTCCTAGTTCTTTTAGGAGAAGCAAATATCTCTTCTTCATTCTGGAAAGGAAATTATAGAATAGAATTACGAGGAACTCTTAACAAGGTCTCACTTCTGAAATAGTACAGATCATGCATATTAATTTAACAAGTGTTCTCTCAAAAAAAAAATTATTTGCATAGAAAATACGATATTTTAATAAACTACATTTTAATGGTAATTGGAATGTACTGGTAATGTTTATCAATATTCAGTAGTAAGACCACAACTCCATTATGCTCTGGTAAGAACCCTTGTTGATATGATACCTCAAAGTATGCACGAAAAAGGTACAGCAGGAGTATCGACCGATGCGCTGGCGGAGGTTGATGCGACAGCGTACTGTCTGAGTGCATACTTTGAGGTATCTTTGTAATAACCTTATTATTATACATCTTTTCCTTTCAATGATACATCATGGGAATGCCGAAATCCAAAAAGTTTAGAACAGAATCTACAAACTTCTTTGTGTGGAGTCCGGTCAAACTCTGGTGGCAGCCATGTTTGTTTTCATTATTAGATATTTATTATTCTATATTTGAAATTCACAATTCCTAATATGGTAGGATAAAAATACCCCGTAAAATTTTGGCACGCTGTAACTTATGGTGTTACAGTGACAGATGTATAATAATAATGGTTATGAAAAGATGCCTTATAACAGATTATAACAGTTACTTTTCTATACTTTAGATTTACACTTCATGTAAACAAGATACACGAACATAATGACACTCACTTGTATATTGGCAGTTTTCTTCTTAGGTTTAACACCACTGACTGGCTCAACATTTGATTCAGCGGATTTTGTATCTAGAAATTAATTTTTGTTAATTACTAACTGTACATATTACGTATCTTACATGCATAGCTATAATGTCCCTGTGTGCTATAATATCCATGCGTACTACATGTATAATGTCCCTGTACGTGTTCTATGATGTCCCAGTGTGCTATGGATGTCCCAGTGTGCTATGATGTCCCAGTGTGCTATGAATGTCCCAGTGTGCTATGAATGTCCCTGCATGCTATAATGTCCCAGTGTGCTATAATGTCCC